ATTTTTGTTATTTAATAAATTAAAATATATAATAAATAATTAAAATAAAATAATTTACATTAATAATTAAAAATATGACAATAACATTACTAATCATTAAGGTAAAAATGAATGATCTATTTAGTACATTTATTTCTCATTTGACTTTAATTTTATTAATCACCAATTAAAGTCATCTACTTAATATTAATGCTTAAATTAATTTCAGTAGGTGGTATTTGTCCTCTTACATAAGTTTCTAGCATTGTTCATGATTCTAATTCTAAGACACATGTTTCCGCATTAAAAAATAGCAATGAATGAATGCATCCCAAAAGAAAAAAAAAAAAAAAAAAGAAGTAAGAGGTTGAAACAGGGTCTAAATTTTTATCACAATTGACTGTGTATGAGTCCCACCTCTAGTTGTCACCCACGTAATTAATGGCTGAAAATTTTCAGCCTCCTGCTTTTGACCCAAGAATAAATGCCCTTGGGGAGTGGACTTGTACGGATAGACATACTGGGCTGTCTTGGATGAAACAAGGAATTAATCGTCCAAGAAATGTTGCAGATGCTACAGATTTATCCAAAACAAGTTTCAGAAGATATGATACCAAATATGCAATCTATTGCCCGGTGTAACAGTGACATATATACCATACCATTAAATTCTGTCCGGAACTCATGGTTTCTTTCATTCTGCTAAACAATGACATGGAAAATTTTATCTATCGCTTGCAACTATTTCTTCATTCTGTCCCTCAAAAGGTTTTATGTAAAAGAATGTAGAAAACCGGTAGCTAGGCTAAGTAATGCCAAAAGACAAAAGGAATAATTAAATTAATCTAGGCTGTGCTGTGGAAGAGACGCTTGTGGTCAGGACCATTATATATCAAGCCCGTCTAAGTTCTGAAATGATTGAAGATGTAACTTGTGGAGGTTGTTTGACGTAAGTGAGAGACATCAAGTCATAGTCATTGTGTTCGCAGATCTGATGGTAACGAGGGTGCAAGACTAGTCTTTTTTGTTATGTAGATTTTATCTTTATGGATGACCTAAGATTTTAGTTCCCCTAAGGAATTTATGAGACCTCTTTTATAATCATTTACATTATTAATCCATGATATGTTTACCTGTTCCACAAAATCTATTATGTCCTTTTTAGTCATAATTAAGAGAGAGAGGAAACTTTTAAACTCAATAAGAATGAAAATACAATAAAAAAAAATGGTGGCTTTGAGTTCCTCAAATTCTTTGCGCAGACACAATCCATTTATACTGCCTCAATTCACTGAAACATAGATATTAATCAAGCCACCAATTTGCCACCAAACACAACACAAAAGCGGGAATTCTAAAAATATATTGTCTACACTATCTTCTAAACAGCCAAATATCAAGCACAGCTTTCCAATCAGATCCGGCCTTATTAAGCTCCTGCAAATAAAAATCATAACACTCAATGATTGAGATGGACACAACACAAAGGATTGTATGTCTCCATTTCAAAGGTCCAAGTCTTATTGGTAAATTGATACAAGCCAAAAATAAAATAGTAAACAAATAAAAATAAATAAAAAGAAGAAGAAAGAATGAGAGCATATCTGTGCACATACCTTTACAAGGATAAGAAATTAATTGTGAATGGGATGTTGGGCTTGTGGCGCGGGAGGAGCGCTGTTTAGGGGGTCACTTTTATCAACAATTCCGCTGTTGTTTGAGTTTTGTGGTGTTGGAATGGTAACAAAATCACCATGCACGCTGCTTGTAACCTTAACAGCATCATAGTTCATCAGTTGTCGTCCTTCAATAGACTGGAACTTTAGTAGAAATGTGATGGCAAGGAAAATGTAAACAATGGATAAAATTTTCTTAGGGGCCATGGTGGGTAAGTGAGAGAGAGCTAAGCGGCACTGCAGGGTGGTGAGTGTAATTAAGCGTCCTCAATATCGAAGGTTATCCGAAGCAGAGCAGAAAGAGTACCCTGTTTCTGAGAAGAGAGAGAAGTAAAAGAAGACGAAGAAAAAACGAGAATATAGAGCAGATAGAGGAAGAGACGGACAAGAGCGAGTGTCAGAGAGAGTGGGTGTGCAGGGGTTCATATATATAGAGGGGGAAGACAACTTCGGAGTGCCGAAGCGACCTAGAAAGGTCTTTAGCGGTTAGTACGGATAAAAAAATATATTTATACATATATATATTTATATTTATATATATATATATATATATATTTCTCTTTCTGACAGTTTGTATTGCCATCTCTTATTGAGATCCTTGTCGACCCTTTCTGTCTCCCTTACATATGTTAAAACATGAATTATAATTAGTG